GGGAACCAGGCCCAGTCTTCCAGACTCTTCTTCCGGTACAGTTTTCCGGTGCTGGATTCCTCTGGCATCATGTGACATGTCCAAAGTGTTTACCAGGAAGCTCGTTAGAGACTCCGTGCCCACAGTTTTGACTGGGGACTGTTGATGTAGGTACCTTCTTGTAGAGGCTGCTTTTAGGAAAACAGGCTTGAGCAATGGAATGTGGAAAGGGCCCACAGCGACCACCTGGCTGAATACAGACAGGCCCTTCAGGTGACCCACCTCAAAATATCCACAGACCCTAAATGACCAGTGGACTACTTACAAGTAGGCAGTTACCAGAAAAGGGAGAATTCCATACATTGCCGTATCGCCTCTTCTTCTCCCTTTAAAAACAGCTCTAACCCACTGCCTCGTTGCAGACAGCCTCTCCTCTGCTATCCAGCCCGCCACTCCCTGGCGGTGTATTCAGTTAACTTCTATCCCCTTTGTTCTGCCTCAGGTGAACTCTTTCACCTCGAGCATCACCGACTTCCACCTGATCGTCGTCCCACATTTGGGGGCACCCATCTGATCAAGAGACACCCCATTTAGACACCACACTTCTGTCTAGCATGCACAAATTCCCAGATTCTCAAATGGAAAGGAAGGTATTCCGCAAAGAACCACATTGTTTGCACAGTTTAGCAACAGGGAGCCAGTCTTATCAGTCAGAGAATGGTAGAAACTCGGAGGAAATCCAAGTTCCTGGATGCCAGCTGAGGACCTACCTGGCTGGCCGGTCTCTTTAAGGATAGCCGTGTAGGACTGCTCTCTCGACTCTTCTGCACAACTAGGTTACACGCTTATAAAGGACACAGATGAAAGGCCTCCTCGGGGACTCCAAGGCAGATTGCCAAGTTGCCACCCCAAATCTGTTCTCCCTGTCTACCTTAGCAACAGAAGAGCAATATGCCCAGTTACACAAGTGCACCGCCAACTCCCATCAGCTCAGGGTGGCCAATGAGATGTAAGCGGAAGTTGTCAGGTGGGACTCAAGGAATGCTCAGGTAAGAGACGGCAGGCAGCTACCATGTCCCTTTGCAGTGCTCCATTCCCTCCTGTCCGGGAGTGTGGAGTCTTCAGCAGCCATCCTGTGAATGAGAGGATGGAAACCACTTTCTATGAAGGGAGAATCAGAAGGACAGAAGGATCCTGGGCCCCAGACGACTCCATGAATCCCTTCTACCAGCCCTGGACAGCCTACTGCTGGATGCTCCTATGAGAACAAACCCTTATGAATGTAAGCTGCTGTGGTCAGGCCACGGTTACTAGCAGCAAAAAGCAACCCCCACTTTCTATAAAGCCTATCTTTTTTTTTTAATTTTTTTTTCAACGTTTTTTTTTTTTTTTATTTATTTTTGGGACAGAGAGAGACAGAGCATGAACGGGGGAGGGGCAGAGAGAGAGGGAGACACAGAATCGGAAACAGGCTCCAGGCTCCGAGCCATCAGCCCAGAGCCTGACGCGGGGCTCGAACTCACGGACCGCGAGATCGTGACCTGGCTGAAGTCGGACGCTTAACCGACTGCGCCACCCAGGCGCCCCTAAAGCCTATCTTTTAAAAAAAGAAAAGTTACTCAGTCAATACTGCCAGACCTCTGAATTTAAGGAAGCTCGTTTCCAAACCTGCAAACTTTTCTCCAACAGGCAATTCCCAACTCCTGAACGTACATTTAAGTTGCATTTGCAACATGGATGTTTGGAATTCTTAAAACTTCTTCCCAGAGAAACATTATAAATTATATTTAGTTGTTAGATTAGTCCACAAAGGTCTATTTAGGCCACAATTTGGCTAAACTGTAGGAATCACTGTGGCTCCAAGCTGTTTGGAGCCACAATTTGTTCTGTTTTACTAGTTGGTTAGAAGTGTTGTGGGGTGCCTGGGTGGCTCAGTCTGTTAAGCGCCCGACTTCGGCTCAGGTCATGATCTCACAGTCTGAGTTCAAGCCCTGCGTCGGGCTCTGTGCTGACAGCGCAGAGCCTGGCGCCTGCTTCGGATTCTGTCTCCCTCTCTCTGCCCCTCCCCCCACTCACACTCTGTCTCTCTCTCAAAATAAAATAAAGACATAAAAAATGTAAAAAAGAGAAGTGTTGTGGAGGAAGAACATGGTCTTAGCACAAGCAGTTGGGGTTGAAGTGTTTTAAACAAGAAGAAAATGTAAGCAGATATATCTATCATCTATCTATGAAAGCTTTTAAATTTTTTGAGTAGAGCTGACACTAAAAATCTTCTCATGGGTAAACACAAACTTCCACTTTGATGAAACTAGGAGCCACATAATGGAGGGGAAGAACCAGAATCCTTAGCGCTGTTAAAGAAAAAAATATTCAATTACCCTTGTTAAAATACAGTAAGGCAGACTTTATTCAGGGCAGGGAGAGAGAGGGGGCTCAACTCTGAATACAGCATGGGCAATTGGGAATTTCCAGTCAAGGAGCAGAGTGGGAGTCAGTGGATGGGAAATTACCAGAAGGAAACATCAGCAACAAGGAGGTTCTGGTTGGTTAAGCTGACCTAATGGGATCCTTGCTGAAGACAGGCTAGGCTGTTCAGGCATCACCAGACGGATGGTGGAGGATGAGGAACCTGATCAGATATCAAGGTGATCAGGTATTAAGTGTGGAGAGTTCTAGTTAAAATGACTTAGCAGGGTTCTTGCTAGAGCAGGATTTAACAAGGAAATGCACAGAGGGGCCTTGGAGAAGTTTCAGGAGCCCAACTTAAGTTTTGTCAAGCAAAGAATCTTTGCCAGGACCTGCAAAGAGAACACTGATAAGAAGTCAGATATTTAGCCTCACAGAAACTGGAAAGATCTCAGTAACTGGGGGCAGCAGAACACTGGAGGTAGAGGTGGAGAGGGAGGGCTGAAAACAGAAGGATGCATGGGTCTGTATAAGCAGCTGGACCCCGAGGTGCCCACCACCACTTCAGAGCCAGTAATATCCCTGCCCTTTATTCAGGAGAGTTGGGGTTTCTGCTTGGGGATACTCATGGTAGCAGCCAGAGGACAGAGCACTGGACTACATGGAAATATATATTCTAACCAAATACCCTAAGCCCCTCCCCCATCCAGCTCCCAGAATTCCTACAGCCAGGTGTCTACCTGCAGGTAGGAAACTAGAGGAAATTCTCTGGGGAAAATGATCTAGATACAAATGCTGGCATTTTGGTACTTCCCGATAAAAGTCTGGGGCACCTGGCTGGCTCAGTTGGTTAAGCATCCGACTTCAGTTCAGGTCATGATCTTGCAGTTCCTGGGTTTGGGCCCCATGTCAGGCTCTGTGCTAACAGCTCAGAGCCTGGAGCTTGCTTCGGGTTCTGTGTCTCCCTCTCTTTCTGCCCCTCCCCTGCTCACACTCTGTCTCTCTCAAAAATAAATAAACATTAAAAAAAAAAAGTCTGGCTTACTGCCTGGAGTGGACATTTGTCATGGTATCTGCTTGCCTAGAATTTTTTGAACATCCTTTGCATATCTGGAGAAGTTCCCCCTGTAAAAAATATTTCTTTAAATGTTTATTTATTATGAGAGAGAGCAAGCGAGAGAGAGAGTGATAGCACATTAAGTGGGGAAGGGGCAGAGAGACAGAGAGAGAATCCGAAGCAAGCTCTAGGCTGAGAGCTCAGGGCAGAGCCCAACGTGAGGCTCAATCTCACGACCGCAAGATCATGATCTGAGTCCATACCAAGAGTTGGATGCTTAAGTGACTGAGCCACCCAAGTGCCCTGAACTTCCTCCCTTAAAAGTCCATGAATCCCTAGTACAGAAGCCAGAAATTCACTTTCCCAGCCTCCTTTGCAGCTAGGGCCCAGGCATGTGATGCTATCAGTTAAGTATCACTGCACAAAACAGATTTATTTTTAATTTTTTTAAGTTTATTTATTCATTTATTTTGAGAGGCAGGGGAGGGGCATAGAGAGAGGGAGAGAGAATCCCAAGCAGGATTTGCACTGTCAGCAGAGCCTGATGCGGGGAACAATCTCAAGAACCGCGAGATCATGACCTGAGCCGAAATCAAGAGTCAGATGCTTAACTGACTGAACGACCCAGGTGCCCCTAAAATCTAATTTATAACACACTTACCAAGTACTCAATAGTACCCAAAGTGTTTCTATAAATCCCTAAACGTAGGTGGGGACTTGCTGAATATAACCTTAAAGGGACCCCTAAAGCCATGTCTTCCAGCAACATGAAAGAAATACAAAGTTACATGAACTAGTTTCAGAAAACTGAGCTTATGGAAGCTCAATGTGAAATTTCAGTTCAACCTTTCATTCATGTATTGAGGGACACCTCATATATGCGAGTTTACTTTTCTTCAAGGAAATATTTATTGCATATTACTAGTGATTATATTTCACAGCAAAATTTAAATTAAATGGATACACTTTTCACAAACATAAACTGGAAATTAAGGCATCCATCAAATGTATATGCTGAACCCAGTCCCGGTTTTCAGCTTTCAGCAGTTAATCAGGATTCTGGTCCAGGGCCACCAGTCCATGATTTCCAAAAGTTGAGGATCCTGTCAGTGACTGGAACAAAATCTTCTTTATATGTGACAATTGTTTCCACGTAAAACCCTTTCGGCGCCTCGAGCATTTCATTTCTTGCGACATCCTTTTGCTCTACTTCATTGCCTTTCAAAAAAATGGAACACCTGAATGATGAACTTTTAAGACGGCAATCCGTCCTTAAAATTATTAGTCAAGCCTCAGAAATCAAATAAACTGAGGTGAGAACTACCCCCACCCCCATCAGATTTCTGACACTGTATTTCCTTTCTGTAAAAGGAAAAAATAAATATGACATGAGCACTACAGACATTGCAATGTTTTCAAATGCTCAATACTGGACACTAGTATTCTCAGGCCACTGATAATCGTCATCACCAATGTAATCTTCAGCAGTTATCACCTAACAGCTTTATCAAGATATACTTAACATATCTTACAATTAACTCCTTTGAAATGTACCACTAAATGGCTTTCATTCACAAAAAGAAACCCCATTCCGTTTGGCAAGCCCCGCCCCCCCTTCCCTTCAGCCCCAGGCAACCAGAAAGTCTTACAGATATCTATAGATTTCCAGCATATTTCTGAAGGCTCAGGGATTTCCTTTTCCGCCCAGTAACTGGGAAGGTTTTAGTACTCGGCTGGCGGGGGTGCTGAAGTGTTTGCTCGCCAACTACAACGGGGGCTAATGTAACCGAGGCATCACCTCTTTAAGTCACCGTCCAGGGTCTTTGACATTCCCTCTGGGGCCTTAAATAGATTCTTCAAATTCTAAGTGTAAAAACGGCCTCCATCAACAAGACGTAGGCAGGGGGACTTAAAAAGTAGTTCCGGGTAGATTCCATTATAACGAATGGCTCTAAGCAATCGTTCCCACTGGTTTTGCAGAATAAACCCGGTGCTTGCGGCACAGCTAAACCGTTTATATAACCCCCTGGGGACGCCTCACCGAAGGCTGCCGGAGAACCGTACCTGGTACTTTGCTCTTCCGGTCTAAAAAAATCAAGGAGCCTAGCAGGGTCCAGGCGCCCAGAGCGTAGACGGCGGACATCCGCCGGTACCAGGACGTGGCCTGGTCCGGACGCATGGCGATACTCGGAGAAGATGTTGATCCTGGGAAGCTCGGAGCGGAGGCGGGCCTTCCAGTCGGCGCGTCACAGCCCCCGCCACCGCCTCCAATCGAGAGTCGACTCTGGGAGGCCGCTTCTTGCGTTGGCCCCGATGCATCCTGGAGCGTGTAGTCCCGAGAGTCGCGCCGGGGATTGGACTCTGAGTTGTGGGGTCTAAGCGGCTTCTGTGCTGTGTTGTGCACCCACTGCCTCGCATACCACGTGATGGGGACCAAATGACAATTTCTCGGAGCAAACTTCTCGCGTGGAAAATTGTAACACCTGCGTTACGCAGGATTCAGATGGTAATTGTTTAGATTAATTTCACTCCTCCAGCTCTCAGATATACGGGAATACCTGTCTTCCAACCCAACTCTTCTCCATTTTCCTTTCTGGAACCCAATCTGGGTGAGCCTTGGGTCCCTCCTTGTCAAAGCTAATCCCTCCACTGGGCTCTGGGTCCAATTCTTTTTTTTTTTTTAAGTAGGCTCCACGCCCAACGTGGGGCTTGAACTCAGGACCTGGGTCCTATTCTCTACAGCCTTTTCAGGGTCTTTCCCATCAATTACACTACCCACATCTCAAAAACAAAACATCTTCCACTATGTCCACCTTCAACTTTTCTCTTACCCATACATTTCTTCAAAGCATAATCTACCCCCACTCCGACAGACCAAACAACTTGAGAGCAAAAGCGATGTGCTTGGCACAGAGTGGGCGTTCAGTAAATTGCCATATCCAGTAACTACTTTTCAGCCATAATCAAATTTGCCTTCTAAAGCATTTGACACCACTGACCCCACCTGCTTCTTTCACGGCTTCAAAAACATAATCTTCTTTAGTATCTTGGTATCCTTCGAGGATCTTCTTCCACCCTTCAGAAATTGCTTTGCCATACACAAAAAATTAACTCTAAATGGACCATAGGCTTAAATGTAAAAGCTAAAACTACAAACCCAGAAGAAAAGACAGGAGAAAATTTGCCACCTTGGGATAGGTAAAGATTTTGTATAATACAGAAAACATGATCCATAAAACCAAATATTGGTAGAGGCACCTGGGTGGCTCAGTCTGTTAAGTGTGGGACTCTTGGTTTCCCGTCAGGTCACCATCTGGATTTGTGAGTTTGAGCCCGGCTCTGGGCTCTGCATTGACAGTGCAGAGCCTGCTTGGGATGCTGTCTCTCTGTCTCTCTCTGTCTCTCTCTGTCTCTCTCTGCCCGTCCTGCTCTCTCTCAAAAGAGGTAAATAAACTTAAAACAAAAAAAACCCCTCAAATATTGGTAAATTGGATGTTTTAAAAATTAAAGCTTTTGCTTTTCAAAAGTCACAGTTAAGAAAATGAAACAAACCACAAAATTAATTATTCAGATACCTATATTTGACCAAGGACTTGTATCCAGAATACATAAGGACACTTACAACGTGATTACAAAAAGACAACCCTACTAAAAATCCTTACACGTAAGATGTAAATTCTAGTCATTCTAATAGGTGTGTGATGGTGTCTTGTGGTTTTAATTTGCATTTCTGTGATGATTAATGATGTCCCTGAGCGTCTTGGCCATTTGTGTATCTTTTGTTAAGAGTTTGTTAAAATTTGTTGCCTTTTAGTAGGTATGTGAAGGATTTGGAGCTATCAGACCTCTTACTGGTGGGAACATAAAATGTCACAACCTCTTTACAATACTGGCAGTTTCTTAAAAAGTTGAACATACAGCTACCATATGACTCAGATCTTCCATTCCTATTTATCCAAAAGAAATGAAAACATATCCACATAGACATGTACACGGATGTTCACAGAGCTTTATTCATAAGAGCCAAAACAAGGAAACAACCCAAATCGATATCAACTAGTGAATGGTTAAATGAAATGTGGTATACCACTCGGCAATAAAAAGGAACTACTGACACATGCAGCTATGTGGTGAGTGTCAAATGGGTTATGCTAAGTGAAAGAAGCTAGACACAAAACCAGACAAAATTCTAGAAGCAAACTAATCTACAGTGGGACAAAGCTGACCAGTAGTTGCCTACTAAGGAAAACTTTTGGGGTGATGGAGATGTTCCATCTGGTGGTGGAGGTTTCACGAGTGTACCCCTGTCAAAACTCATTGAACTGTATACTTTAAATGGGTGCAGTTCATTGTATGTAAGTTATACCTCAATCAAGTTAAAAACAAAACAAAAACACTGATATTCTGTTCCAAACTCGTTTCTCTTCTCATCCTGAGCAACTTTACTCATGTTATTTGTTAACGATAGAAATCTGCTCCAAATTCTCCTGAAGGCAAATTTCTATTAATTACTTCCAACCTGCTGGACATTATTATATCTCAAAAGCTCCTTTAAATGTCCAGGACTGAATTTATCAATGCTAGGAAAGAAAGAGGAAAAGAACTCTTTCCTTCCTTTTGTGTAATTCAGAGAATGATTGACATGATCACCCAAGCCAGAAACCTGAATTCAGACTCTTGCCTAATATCCTATCTGTCACGTCTGTCTGAGCACCTGCCTCTGTTCAGGCCTCACCTAGATTCCAGCTTCCTCCCATCCATCCTGCCACTCTCTAGTGTTTAAAAAAAAAAAAAAACAAACAAAAAAAAAACCCTAACTGATCCTTTCCCCTGCTTAAAATGTCAGAGGCTTTCCTTGCCTTGGAGAGGAATTTCAGAGTCCTCATTAGCCACACTAGGCTCCATGCTTCCCCACTCAGGATGGCTACTTTCCACACAATACTACCCCCCACCTCCATGTTCTCTCTGGAAACAGCCACCAGTACCCAGAGGTGGCACCTGCATGGCCACGTCTTTGATGTTGTCACCCAATGGTGCCACCTCACCTCAGCACCTGAACTCATTGTCACTGAAGAGAACACCAGAGCAAGGTGGGTCTTCCACATTCTACCTTCTGTTAATTTGAAATGGAAAGGACCAGGTGGAACAGTTTCAACTTAAATCTGTATATGCAGTTTTCTGTACTCTTCTATTTGATGTGTCTCAATTAAGAATTATTTCCAAAAAGTAAGAAAAATATTCTATGGAAAAGACACATAAAATAAAAGCCCTTGGCATTTATTTATTTAAAAAAAATTTTTTTTAACGTTTATTTATTTTTGAGACAGAGAGAGACAGAGCATGAATGGGGGAGGGTCAGAGAGAGAGGGAGACACAGCATCCAAAACAGGCTCCAGGCTGAGCGGTCAGCACAGAGCCTGACACGGGGCTCAAACTCACAGACCACGAGATCATGACCTGAGCCCAAGTCAGACGCTCAACCGACTGAGCCACCCAGGCGCCCCAAGCCCTTGGCATTTAAAATGTAACTGCTAGGGAGCCTGGCTGGGTCAGCTGGAAGAGCATTCGATTCTTGATCTCGGGGTCGTGGCTTCAAGCCCCACATTGGATGTAGAGATTACTTAAATAAACTTTAAAAAATGAAATGAAATAAAATAAAATGTGTTAAACAGCTTAGGATAGGAAACACTCTAAGAACACACACCAAAGGCAAAAGGTAGTAATACAAATTCGAAATATAGAGAAGAATCAATCCAGATGGCCCAACAGTCAATTAAAAGGAGTTTCCAGGGGCGCCTGGGTGGCGCAGTCGGTTAAGCCTCCGACTTCAGCCAGGTCACGATCTCACGGTCCGTGAGTTCGAGCCCTGCGTCAGGCTCTGGGCTGATGGCTCGGAGCCTGGAGCCTGTTTCCGATTCTGTGTCTCCCTCTCTCTCTGCCCCTCCCCCGTTCATGCTCTGTCTCTGTCTGTCCCATAAATAAATAAAAACGTTGAAGAAAAAAAAATTAAAAAAAAAAAAAAGAGTTTCCAGCTTTGCTTTTCTACATAGCACTCAGTACCTTCTAATAAGTTATATAATTTACTTCCATTTTTTTTATTATTGGTCTTCCCTAACTAGAACATAAGCTTCACAAAAGCAGAAAATTTTGTTTTATTGGCTACATTCCCAGTGCCTGTAAGACACTCTATACATATCAAATACTGAACAATTATTTGTTGAATGAATGAAAAAATAGGTCCAAAGTTCTGAGAGGAAAATGATTTGGGGCCTAGAATTTTATACTCAGCAAAGCTATCAAGTATGAAGACAGAATAGATTCAGTCAATTATCTCCCATGTAACTTTTTATAGAAGCCATTTAAGATAGCAAATGACTTATGGGATAAAGAGTAGAACTAATCCAGGAGTCCAGACAAAAGAAATTCCTGGATTACTATTGTCGTAGCAATTGGCCAGTGATTAAAGGGGAGATCAGTGACCTTTAAAGAACAATGGACTCCATTCAGTAGAAGAAGAGATTTGAATTTCTGAATAGATAGAAAACAAAATCTTCAATCAAAACAAGAAATTAGGAACTCTAGGGAAAATAACAATATAAGAAGTCATGATGTGAAAAGGAAGCACACCAACCCGGGGCGTGCTAGAATGTGAGCACAGTGACTAATTCTGTCACTGGACATGTTTTCCTTCAAGTGGTAGAAGGACTGGGGCAGCAAACCCCTGGAGACAAATGTAATATTGCCTGACCGAACACGGACAATGTTTACATGATCACAACTGTGTAAATGATATTTATTAGTTTCCAACTTTCAGAATGAACTTTCAGACAAAAGACAGAACTATGGTTATAAGTCAGAATGTAAATTTTACCAACCTTGATAGATAGAAAAATAAAGGTGTAGCTGATCAAAACTGGATGGTCAAGAGAAAGGTCTTACTTTCCTCATTCTGGAAAATGGGAATTGAGTGACACTGGTTGGCTAAAACTGATACAGCAACAAAAGTCTTGAAGGAAAGGTTAAAACCAGTCATCTCGGCACAGTAGGTTTAGGCTCAGGGAGTGGAGGGAACTATTATTTGTTATAAAGCTCTTTAGGATAAGTTTTGTCTCTTTTTTTAAAACCATGCATATATTACTTTGATTAAAAAGCAGTGCTAATGTTAAAGTTATTTTACTTGATGCCCAAGATAAATGGCTGTCATTTTGTTATAGCTATTTATGCCCATCAGTCACTCTTTAAAAAAAATTTTTTTAAATGTTTATTTATTTTTGAGAGAGAGAGAGAGGATGAGCAGAGGGGCAAAGAGAGGATGA